TAGTTTCACAGGGTCCTTAGCTTTCTCTGCCAAAGAGTGTTGGTGCCTCCCCAAATGACAAAGCCCAGCTGGGATTGTGGGAGTTGTAATTTCAGTTTGGCAACATATTGAATGCCATAGCTGAATGTTATATAATTTTGGGAAATGTAGTTTCTCAGGGTCCTTAGCCTTCTCTGCCAACTACAAAGCCCAATGTGCCATTGCATTGGGATTGTGGGAGTTGTAGTTTCAGTTTGGCACCACTTTGAATGCCATAACCCACTGGTTCTCAACTTGTAGGTCCCCAGATGTTTTTGGCCTTCAACTCCCAGAAATCCTAACAGCTGGTAAACTAGCTGGGATTTCTGGGAGTTGTAGGCCAAAAACATCTGGGGACCCCAGGTTGAGAACCACTGCATAACCGAATGCTATATCATTGTGGGAGACGTAGTTTCACAGGGTCCTTAGCTTTCTCTGCCAAAGAGTGCTGGTGCTTTCCTACACAACAAAGCCCAGTGTGCCACTGCATTGGAATTGTGGGAGTTGTAGTTTCACAAGCTCTTAAGCCTCCTCGCAAAAACCAGCACCCTCAGCATTCCACAGCATTAGAAAGTGGTGTTAACCCGCATCAACTCTGCAGTGTAGGCGCACCCCCAGTAGGGGAGGGGGCAAGAGCAATCGTGGAGCAAGAGGGTTGTTTACGCAGAAGACAAAACACGCAGAGATCCCTTTGGAGAATGGAGAGGCCAGTGGCCAGATCCACGAAAGTGGGGCAACCTTTTGGGGAGGGAGAGATTGGCTGGAGGAAGGAGAGAACGCAGAAACCCGGGGAAGGGATGCGCCCAGGGGGGTCACGCGTGGGAATGGGGTGTATTGAGGGAAAGGGGCTTCCTACCGTCCTGGGGCCCCAGCAGCAGGAAAGGCTTGCTCTCTTTCTCTCTCCCCGCCGCTTCCTTCCAGCGCTATGGAGGCAGCGCCTGCTTCATTCCCGGGGATCCGGCCCGGCCACCCCGCAGCCTCCCAGGTTCGAGCCCGAGTCGCCAAAAAGATAAAATAATAAAAAGGGGGCTGTCCTTATAAGGGGGCGTCGTTCAAGTTCCACCCGGTTCCGGAGCCGAAGCACACTTGCTGCCTCTTCCTCTCGAGTTGGCGATTACCTGAGTCCTCCTCCTCTCAGGTGTCTTGGGAGAAGAAGGAAAAAAACATCATGGTTTTACGGTTCCTTCTTGGTAGGAAAATTGAGCCCCGGTCCCTAGAGCCGAAAGCCAATCCGGAGACAGCTACGTAGAAGCAGCCTGGCTCAAAAGCGAAAGGAAGGAGGAAATGAGCCAATGGGGAAAAAGGAGAGGCGGGGTTTGAAGGGGAGAAAGAGCGCGGCCTTAAAGGAGCAGCTCATTCATTGGGGCAACAAGAAGTAGAAACTCAAAACCTGCTTTTATCCCAGGCCCTTCCAGACAGCCCTATATCCCAGAATATCAAAGCAGGAAGTCCCACAATATCTGCTTTGAACGAGGTTATCAGAGTCCACACCCAGATAATGTGGGATTTTCTGTCTTGATATTCTGGAATATAGGGCAGTGTGCAGGGCCCCCAATATCAAATTCTATATTTTTCTGAAACCACAGCCTCCTAGGGCCCTTCCACACAGCCATATAATCAGAATATCAAGACAGATCATCCACATTATCTGCTTTGGATTATCTAAATCCACACTGCCATATAATTCCAGTGGATTTTATACAGCATTGTTTGATCACTAACATGGTTGGCAGAATGACCATTCCCAATGCTATGAGCCTGTTACTGAACAGTTAAGATACACTTCCATCATCCCCAATTAAATCTAGAAATAGTTTTTTAAGATCTACAGAGACACTTGCTGGAACACCTCAGCAAGCGAGAGTCCAAAAGTGGCAGGCTCAAACCCAGAACCTCAACCCATGGCTGATACCAAATGAGAGACTCCCCCCTGGGCACACAGAGGACTGGGCGACTTGGAAGGCGCTGAACAGACTGCGCTCTGGCACCACAAGATGCAGAGCCAACCTCAAGAAATGGGGCTACAAAGTGGAATCCTCGACATGCGAGTGTGGAGAGGAGCAAACCACTGACCACCTGCTGCAATGCACCCTGAGCCCTGCCACATGCACCATGGAGGACCTTCTTGCAGCAACACCAGAAGCACTCCAAGTGGCCAGATACTGGTCAAAGGACATTTAATCAACTACCAAACTCACAATGTTTTTGTATTTTGTCTGTTTGTTTGCTTTGTTCTGTTAGAAATGTAACATAATTGACTGGTTGCCCTGACACAACAAATAAATAAATCCCCAATTAGAATAGCTGGGGATGAAGGAAGTTGTAATTTAAGTCACTTGTAGAGTGTATGGGGTTGATGGTCAGAAGGATGGTAAAAACTTGGCTGTGGAACCAAGCTTTCGGGACAGGGCAATAAAGCAGCAATAGGAAAGATTACCAGACCAAGTAGATTTGACACAGATGACCAAGACGGTTTTGAACAGTGTATTTTAATATTGAGTTAAATGTTTTAAATGTTTATGTATGCGTATATGAATTCTTGTCCCGGCATTGAATGTTTGCCGTATATATGCTGTGCTCTGCTCTGAGTCCCCTTCGGGGTGAGAAGGGCAGAAGATAAATGTTTTCAATCAATCAATCAATCAATCATCCATTATCTGGAGTCTTTAACCACTTTGGTTACAGTAACTGTGTTTACAAGGAAGTTATTACATTTAGTATTTTTTTGTTGTTCATTCGTTCAGTCGCTTCTGATTCTTTGTGACTTCATGGACTAGTCCATCCCAGAGCTACCTGTTGGCTGCCACCACCCCCAGCTCCTTCAAGGTCAATCCAGTCACTTCAAGGATACCATCCATCCATCTTGCCCTTGGTTGGCCCCTCTTCCTTTTTCCTTACATTTTCCGCAACATAATTGTCTTCTCTAAGCTTTCCTGTCTTCTCATGATGTGGCCAAAGTACTTCATCTTTGCCTCTACTTACTTACTTAGGTGATCCCTTGTTTTCCGAGGAGGATTGTCTTCCAATATTCTTGTGGGTCCGTATGTGGCTGTGGAGCCCTATTCTTGCTCTGCATCTTCTTCCACAGTGAGGGCATTGGTTTCCAGGTGGAAGGCGGTCTCGGTCGGGGTTGGCTTGACGTGCCTTCCTCTTGGCATGCTTCTCCCTTTTGCCCTCCATTCGTGCCTCTTCAAATTCTGCAACACTGCTGGTCACAGCTGACCTCCAGCTGGAGCGCTCAAGGGACAGGGCTTCCCAGTTCTCAGTGTCTATGCCAGAGTTTTTAAGGTTGGCTTTGAGCCCATCTTTAAATCTCTTTTCCTGTCCACCAACATTCGTTTTCCGTTCTTGAGTTCAGAGTAGAGCAACTGCTTTGGGAGACGGTGGTCGGGCATCCGGACAACGTGGCCGGGCCAGCGGAGTTGATGGCGGAGGACCATTTTCTCCGGAAAATCCTGCAAATCTCTTGGGAAGACAGGCGGACAAACATCAACGTGCTGGAAGAAGCAAAGACCACTAGCTTTGCCTCTACTATCCTTCCCGCCAATGAGAAGCCGGGCTTTATTTCCTAAAGTATGGACTGGTTGGATCTTCTCACAGTCCAAGGCACTCTCAGAACTTTCCTCCAACACCACAGTTCAAAAGCATCTATCTTCCTTCGCTCAGCCTTCCCTAAGGTCCAGCTCTCACATCCGTAGGTTACTATGGGGAATATCATTGCTTTAACTATGTGGATCTTTGTTGCCAGTGTGATGTCTCTACTCTTCACTATTTTATCAAGATTGGATATTGCTCTCCTCCCAAGAAGTAAGCGTTTCCTGATTTCCACAGATTACTGCAGTCTGTGTCTGCAGTAATCTTTGCACCTCGAAATACAAAGTCTGTCACTGCCTCAATGTTTTCTCCTTCTATTTCCCAGTTGTCAGTCATTCTTGTTGCCATAATCTTGTTTTTTTTTAATGTTTAACTGCAACCCAGCGTTTGCGCTTTTTCTTTTACCTTTATTAGAAGGCTCCTCAGCTCCTCCTCGCTTTCGGCCATCAAAGTGGTGTCATCTGCATATCTAAGGTTGTTAATGTTTCTTCCAGCAATTTTCACCCCAGCCTTGCATTCCTGAAGCCCCGCACATCGCATGATGTGTTCTGCATACAAGTTGAATACGTTGTGTGAGAGTATACAAGCCTGCCGTACTCCTTTCTCAATCTTGAACCAGTCTGTTGTTCCATGGTCATTTAGTATTAGATTGCCTATTTAAGACATTTCTAAACCATCCTTCATGTCTTGAATGCCAGGGCGTTTCAAAAAAGTCAGTATATTATTTTTAGAAAGGAGAAATAGCACAATAAATCAATTTATTTCATAACAATTAGAGAGGAAAGGCAGAGGAATATAAAAATAGATAGGACACCAAAAGTGCATCTACACAGCTGGATTAACGCAGTTTGATGCCACTTGAACTGCCATGACTCAGTACTATGGAGTCCTGGGATTTGCAATTTGGTGAAAATCCAGCCCTTTTGGCCAGAGAGGAGCAAAGACCTTGTAAAATTACAAATCACATGATCCCATGGCCTTAAGACGCAGTGTTTGAAGTAAACTGGAGTAATTTTATATCCTAAATGCCATCTGTCTTTGGTCCCTTCCACACATTTTAATAAAATCCCACATTATTTGCTTTGAACTGGAATATATGCCAGTGTGGACTCAGGCTCTTCTATACAGCCCTATATCCCAGAATATCAAGGCAGAAAATCCCACAATGTCTGCTTTGAACTGAAATATCTGAGTCCACATTCAGATAATGTGGGATTTCCTGCCTTGATATTCTGGGATACAGGGCTGTGTGGAAGCGGCCTTTCCTTAGCGTCGTGCTGATCAATGTTTACAGCAGGGGCGCTGTTTGGTTCTATGCGCTCCGGAAGAGGAAGCGCGACATTTGCATATTCAGGAGGAGCTCCCTTATTCATTATTCATGAGCTTTCGCGGGCTTTTGCACCATGTGACCGTCTTTCCCGCGGAATTCAGCCTGGCCCTGGGAGTGCACTTGGAGGAGCCAAGCAAACACAGAGGAAAGCTCTGCGGATTTGTGAACCTTTATCGAAATAATGGCGGTGAGTTGGGACTGGACTTTTTCAATAGAGGAAAATCCTTAAGCTTAACTTTTCTTACTTAGTATTACATTTAAAGTTTTAATCCTAACCATGGAGCTTTTTCCTCTCTTGCTTTTCCTTTGCTTTTTTTGGGGAAGGATTTTTGGGAGAAATCTATTGAGCATTTGAGTGTTTTGTTTGGTTGTACTTTATGGAGTTTGAAAGAGAGATGGGTTGTGGGTGTGTAGATCTGGGCTCCTGTTCAAAGACAGCAAGGTGCAGGGGGAAACTACAGCCTAGGGTGCATCTACACAGTAGGATTATTGCAGTTTGACACCGCATTAACTACCATGGCGCAATGCTATGGAATCTTGGGAGTTGTAGTTTAGTGAGGCATTTGCAGTCTTTGGCAAAGCAGACTAAAGGCAGTTCCCAGGATTCCATAGCATTCATCCATGAGAATGAAAGTGGTATCAAACTGCATACATTCTACAATGTAGATGCACCCTAGGCTGTAGTTTTGTGCACAGCTACATGGAAGCAAGCCCTACCAGGGTTTGTGCGTTTCCTTCTGTTCTCTAGTCCAGGTGGAAAGTCATTTTGCAACATAAACTTTCATGGACTATGGCATACTACACCAGGCTTGGGTGAATCTGGGCCTTCCAGGTGTTTTGGACTTCAACTCCCACCATTCTTAACAGCCTCAGGCCCTTGCCTTTTACCCCTCAGCCACTTACGCAGCTGAGGGGTAACAGGAAAGGGCCTGAGGCTGTTAGGAATGGTAGGAGTTGAAGTCCAAAACACCTGGAAGGCCCAGATTTATCCATGCCTGAACTACACTACATAACATTATTTTTGTTCCTCGGTTATAAATGTCATTTCCTAATTGGTTCAATCATAAAAACGTGAGAAAAGTTTATTAAACTGCAAAAACTTTTGTTTTGCACATTTTGCTATAGCTTTTCAATGAATATCTCACAAAGTCCCTAATCAATCCAACATAGTTTGTGGTAGCCACAAAAATGAAGTTTCTGGGGTATAACAACTACTTTCAAAGTAAGTGCTGCACAATTAAACAAGGAATAACACTTTCAAGCCTGGAACAGATTTTTTTTTCAAATTTTGTTACATAGTGCCATAGGTTGGGTATCCCTTATTTGAAATGCTAGCGTCCAGAGGTGTTTGAGAATACAGCTATTATTAGTTATTTTGGATTTTAAAGTAGCTCTATTTGCATATGCTGTATATAATAAGATATCTTGGAGATGGGGCCCAAATCTAAACACAAAATTCATTTATGTTTGATATGTGATTTTAATATTTGGATCATGTGATTTTAATATTTATATTAAGATATTTTAATGTTTTGTTTTAATTTTAACCGCTTTGAGTCGCCTGAAGGCTGAGAAAAGCAATATATAAATGAAGATAATAATAATAATAATAATAATAATAATAATAATAATAATAAGTTTTAAATCTTTATGTCTCATGTTTAATGGTTTTAGTGATTTTTATTTATAATTATATATTAGTGTTTATTATTATTTTTCTTTTTACATGTATGTTGGCATTGAATTCTTGCCATTATAAGTTGTAAACCGCCCTGAGCCCCCCCCTTTGTTTCTTAATTTTTTTAATAATAATAATAATAATAATAATTTATAATAATTATAATAATCTCTTAACCTAAATTTCTAAGGAGAGGGGTGAGAAAGATGGTATATAAATATAGAACATAAATAAATAAACAAATATAAATTTATTTATATATGTATATCCTGAAGGTAATTTTATGCACAAACGTTTCAAAATAATTCTGTGCATGAAGCAAAGCTTGTGTACATTGAACCACCAGAAAGCAAAGGCATCACAATGTTAGCCACACATATGGACAGTTTTATATTCTGGCCTATTTGGGGATTTTGGATAAGGGATGCTTGACCTATACTAAGACGTTTGTAGTTTAGTGAGGCCCAGGTCCTTTCTGGCTCAGCATCTGAAAGGCTCTCTAAATTACAAGCCCCAAAATTCTGCAGGAGGCAGCCATGGGTTTTCGAATAGGATGCACATCCTGACTGCTCTTTAAGCTCTAGCAGTGGTTCCCAAACTGTGGTCTGTGGATCACCAGTAGTCTGCAAGAATGAAAATATGCCCTACAGCCTCACCATTACTACATCATTTCCTCAAAACCACGTGGCAGTGAGGGTGATTGGTCTCACAAAACCCTCTTACAGTCCCGGGAGAGGCTGATTACCCACGATATATTAAAAAGTAAGTGATGGAGAAAAGCAAGGAATAGGAAAAGCTAGTTGGTAAAAGTTAAGACATTCCTCACTTATGGTAGCTTTACAACTTCCTTTAGGATTCTTCCGAGTCGAACGTGGTTACCAGCCCCCAGGCTAGCTCTCGGCGAGGAGATGCCCTCACTTCCAGTCCCGGGAGAGACCTGCCTCCCTTTGCAGATGAATCGGAAGGACTCCTGGGGACCAAGGGGCTCCCTGACGAAGACGAAGAAGATGGAGAAGACCTCATTGGAGACGGGATGGAAAGGTAGAGGGCTTGCACAGCTTGCAGTCTTTGGGTCCTTGCTGGGGCCTCTTATTTGAGGGCAGAATGAGGGTGATGCTTTACTACCTTGATATGGCTGGAAATCGGACATGTGTGAAAGCATGTGCTTTGAAGAGGCAAATGTTCTGTCTTGGGTTATGTTCCTTTATTTCTAAATTAAATAAGGTTTGTTTTAAATGGTCAGGTATTATGGAAGCTGAACCTTATTCCATCAGAATTTATTGTTGGAAGTAAACCTAAGAATTGGCAGTACCTTGTAAAGGCAGACATTTTTAAAAATGATTTTTGCTCAAGAAAGAAATGGCATAAAACAGAGATAGATAAGAGTTGCTAGAAATGGTTTGAAGTTGTAATGATGTATATTAGCTCTGATGTGAGAGATAGTATACTTCTGAAACCTAGTTGCTGAAAAACTTAGTTGAGTGTTGACTGTGGTCTTCAAAGCCTGTTTATCAGCTTCTCATAGCCATCTGATTGGCCTCTGTGGGTGAAGGATTGCTGTACTTAAGAGGCAGTCCTTCTGCTCAGTATTTTTTATGGTTGCCTCCACTCACCCAGCTGTAGCATTGTTATGCCCAAGCGTCCTGACTACAGATCCACATTTCAATATATATTGAAAGTTGTTTCCAGACTGATTTGCAAGATGATCATCATGATACTGATGTTCCCAGATGTTAATTATATGAGTCTACACCAGGCATGGGCAGACTTTGGCCCTCCAGGCACAGGCAGACTTCAGTCCTCCAAGTGTTTTGGACTTCCAACTCCCACAAACGGTGGGAGTTGGAGTCCAAAACACATGAAGGGCCAAAGTTTGTCTATGCCTGGTCTGCACTAACCATATAGTGAAATTTCAAACTGTATGATACGGCAGTGTAGATACAGTCTCAGAAAGCTATCTTCTTCTTTTAAAGTCTTTTGATTGCAGCCATGCTTTGCTGTTTCCAGTATCTCTCCATTCTGGTGTAAGATGTTTTTATTAGGGTATGGCTTTGAATATTGCAGTGCACCACATACATTGATGTTTTTATGTAAAATAAATATCAGTGTTACTTGTAGAATGCTTCAGCACTTATAATAATTATCTACACACATGTCCCAGGATCTGGTATATACAGTTATTCTTAAAGACCTTTTCAACATACACATGAGCACTCATCGAGATTGATCAATGAGTGTCCATTGGAATCAGTCGTTTATTTCATGACTTGACGTGAGGCAAATGCAGATGTCATTTATGAAGTGTAGGCTGAGACTGTACAATTGCAACTGCACAGTTCATGCCCGAAGTTCTTGTGAAAGATAAGTTCTCACATGTGAACATCTCATGGGTTTAGAATAAGAGGATGGCAGCGTTTCTGTAAAATAAGTGATGTTTTCATATTCACTTACACTATGCCGTGCAGTCATTGAGCTGTTGGGGCCAGAGCCTTAAAGCAAATGTAATGTCATCGCTAAAGCACAGCATAGTCTGAGCTCTCTGTGTGGTGTCTAGGGATTACCGGCCTATTCCAGAGCTGGATGTCTATTCACCGGAAGGGCTGGCTCAGGATGATGAAGACGTGGAGGAACTGACCGCCAGTCAAAGGGAGGCAGCAGAGCGGGCCATGAGGCAGAGGGACCGCGAACTGGGCCATGGCTTGGGCCGCATGAGGACTGGTCTGCTATATGGTATGTTTGCAATCTTTCTGGTGCATAATCATTTAGTATTGGAATTCAACCCCACACTGCCCAAGTCTGCAGTCCTCAGTGAGGATTCGTTAGATTAGAATCAACTGAGGGAAATCCACCACACACCCGGTCTCCTGTATGACAGCTTGAATGTATCTGTTTGTTCTCTTCTCTCTGTTACTGTTCTCACTTGGATTGCTTATGTAGAATGGATACTTTGCAGGAGCATGCCTTTTGTCTTTGATCTTCTATTTTTACAACTTAGTGTGTTTTGAGATCTCTCTCTGCTTGTGTGTGTCAGGAGCGATATGTGCTTAGAGATTTTTTTTCCTCTTTTGAATCCTAGAGAGATGGATTTCGAGTAGCTCAGGCCCAGTTCTTTATTATTAAGAATAATATATAGTTATTATTTTTGTAAATAAACCTTTTGTAATTTTAAAGATGGAACTCTGCATGTTTGCTTCCTAAACTCTAAATTCTTTACCAGCTTGCTGTGAGCTGAATGCTCAACCATAAGTATCCTGTTTTTGTATTTTGGATGCTCTGCTGTATTTTTGGGAGTTCTCCCCAACAGAAAATTCTTATATTTAGCACACACAGATAATTTCTTGATGATATTTATAGTGTTATTGTGAATAATACAATGGCAACTGACGCATGAACTCTTACCTAGCCTGAAGTCCTCTTGAAGAGAGTGGGAAATCCAAGTAAATTATGTAGTTTACATGTTATTGTATGTCCCACTTTTATAGTTGTTAATTAAGTCTGCAAAGCACGATCTCTGTAGTCCCTTTAATGGGATTTAAGCCCATGAATATTTCGTCTAGAAGTTGCAACAGGGGTGGTCACTACATTGCTTGACTTAATAAAACAAGGGATGCAATAGTTGATGAATAACATACATTGGCAATTTGCTTGAAATCAGATTACGGTTTGTGATCTATTATTATTATATTGATTCAAATCTTTTTCTCTGTATAATTTTCAAAAGATCATGTGATGCACCTGGCATGGAAATTTATTATATGAGAGCTGTCAGTCTCAGGTGGCTCGTCCGCCTTTATTTTCTTTCATCTCCTGCAATCCCATTTAATGTCCTTGCAGCCAGAATTCAATAATATCCCATTCCCTTCCTTTCTGAAGATAAAGGGCTGCCTTTCTGTTGAACCTTACAAACGGTTTGCAGATTATTGGCAGTAACCATACTTTTGGTGAAAATCTTGGGAGTTAGTAGCTATTTAGTCTTCTAGAGCTGCAGTACTCCTTGGATTGGTGCCTCAGGCACTCTTCCTCTGTGCTAAGTACCCTATATACTTGAGTATAAACCAAGTTTTTCAGCCCTTTTTAAAGGCTGAAAACACCCCCCTCGGTAGATACTGAATCAAGGTTATTCATTATTGTACTCTGTTGTTGTTATTATTTTTATTACATTTATTATTTTACTCTATTATTATTACATTTATTTTGCTCTATTATTACATTATTTTGCTCTATTTATTATTGTTATTACTACATTTATTATTTTCCTCTATTATTGAAAGGATATGTAAGTACATTTACATTGAAGGTAAGAATAATGGTTTAATCAGAGTTGGGCAGTCTTATCTTAAATTTCAGTTTTATGTAAATATTCACAAACATTTAACCTACTGATGCCTCAATTAATGTAATTTTATTGGTATCTATTTTTATTTTGAAATGTACCAGTAGTTACTGCATTTCCCACCCTCAGCTTATACTCAAGTCAATACGGTTTCCCATTTTTTGGGGGTGAAATTAGGTGCCTCGGCTTATATTTGGGTCAGCTTATACTGAAGTATATACGATAGTATAGATCACCAGTAGGAACTATGTAGTCCTACAGATTTATAATATAGCTACCACCATTTCTGCCCACTTTCTATTCAAACCAGAACTTTCCAAACTGCATGTCTTGATATCTTTGTGTTTTGGCTGCAGCATGCAAATGTAGTGAGACATATTTGAGACTGTTAAATAAGCAATGTATCACATATTTTCAAAAAATAAAGATTTTCATGAGATATGTTGTGTTCTCATGCATTTTGTTATTACAGTTTCTGTATGCATCCATATCTCTTATAAGGGGTTGCTTTGACCCCCAGTTTGCTAGTGTCGCGAAATGATACAAGTCTAAAAAGTATGTCCCCAACAAGAAATGTTTCAAAAGCTTTGAAGTAGAGAATTACAGTCCAACAATGTCTAGAATGCCACATGTTCCCCATTCTTGCAACAGAGGTGTGCTATTTATTTTACTACCTTTCAGTTTGTTTCCAGGGCAGTTGGAAAAATTTCAAAACTGCAAGGGAAGAAATTAAAACTTAAAAGACCAGAATATAAAAGGAACATTAACTATATAAGCAGTCAAAAGAATTAAAAACAAACATAAAGCAGGCTAAAAGGAGGGAAATAAAGAGCCTATCAAAATACCTTTGCTTGACATTAAAATTCCATCAAGGTGGGCCCCAGGCAACTCTATAGTTTGAACTGCTGGCACCAATGAATCTGATGTGTTTTATAAAGGCAAAATGAGCTTGGTATTGTCAACAGCTCTGTGGATAATGCTGTTTGATCTGCCTCTTTTGATCATCTATCTTTGAAAACTAGAGAGTGACGATGAAGATGAGGACCGTCCTTCGCGGAAGAGGCGTCTAGTTGAACGGGCTGCAGATGGCATGGAAGACGAAGATGAAGACATGATTGAGAGCATTGAGAACCTGGAAGATATGAAGGGACACTCTGTGAGGGAGTGGGTGTCCATGGCAGCTCCTCGGCTGGAGATCTACCACCGCTTCAAGAACTTCCTGAAGACTCATGTGGACGAGCATGGACACAATGTCTTCAAAGAGAGGATCAGTGACATGTGCAAAGGTATTATTGTGAGGAAACATGGAGGAAATGCATTAGAAAGAAATATACAAGCTTAGAATAATTTGAATTAATTTCTTGTGGAAGCTGTAGAGATTTAGCAGTAGGACATGTGATCGTTTTTTTTAATTATAATTTTTGTTCTGAAGAAAAAACATCTAGTGATACAATAAAAGAGGGGAAACATTTCATGAGTATAGAAAAATGGGAAATGAAGTGAGAAATAACCTGATTTCTAAAAGAAGAAGAGAGAGAAAAGAAAAGTAAAAAGAACAAATTCCTAAAATAGAGCAAGAGAGGAACAGAAATTTGGTACTTCCTATCTTAGCTTCGAAGAATTAATATCTAAGGTAAAGGTAAAAGAGAGTTATTTATATAGTGCTAGTCCTTTTAAAGTTTGAATTCAATCATTCCATGTATTTCATATAATAGCTTCTTCTATTATTTCCAGATTTTCATTTTTCAAAAAACATTTCAGGGTTGTCTACATGTGATAGTTTTTAAAGCAAGGATAATTTGTTGTATGCCAAGAAGCATCTGTGTTTCATATCATCTAAATATTATCCCTGGAATTTGGAAATGTTATTTGTGAAACAAAATACAATTTCACATATTATATAAGAATAAAGAAAAACCCATAGATTAGGTTTTGGTTAAAAAGTTATTATTGTTGCTACTAAAATAGCTATCACTGATAGAATTAAAGTTGAAATAATTAGCACCAGAAAAAGTTATATCTGATATTTAGAATAATTTATATTCTTGATATTGCTATCAAATAACATTTATTTATTTATTTATTTATTTACTGTGCTTATATACCGCAATTCTCAGCCCAAGGGCGAACAAAATATGCTGTATGTTAACTCAGAAATGAACAAATATTGTTGCATAATTATGTGTTATTATTATGGATATATGTATTCTAATGTATAGGAAGGTTTGCTTAGCAATTTACAGTGCAGTCCTATATTTCCTAAGAAGTCCTATTCACTTAAAGGGGACATATTTCTGTTAAATGTATATAGGTTTGCAATTGTGTTAATTATGGGGGTAGGAGGAACTTTGTGATACTTTGTCCAAAATGTGTTTATTTTCCTTTGGCAGAGAACAGAGAGAGCCTGGTGGTGAATTACGAAGACCTGGCTGCCCGGGAGCATGTCCTTGCCTATTTCCTTCCAGAAGCCCCAGCTGAAATGTTGAAGATCTTTGATGAAGCAGCCAAGGAAGTAGTGCTGGCTATGTACCCCAAATATGACCGGATTGCTAAGGAAATCCACGTCCGCATCTCACATCTGCCTCTGGTGGAGGAGCTACGCTCACTCAGGTAAGGAGTCAGTTTGGTTCTGATGACAGGCAGCTCTGCCCTGGTCTGTGATGCACCCACTCCTGAATGAACTGTCACTGGCTGGAGCATATATGACTAAGCATCGAAACGGGTGCTTGTCTGGTTCTGTAGAGCAAGTATCTAGGAGCTAAACTCTGTGTTGCAGTCTTCCCTAACAGCAGTTTTTCTGTGTCCCACATTAATCCTCTAATTGTAACATGGCTATTAAGAAGTCTTTCTGGTGCCATTGAAAGAAGGATGCTTAGAATTGTTGCTTCTGATAAAATTGTAGTTCAAGATTTTCTGCTGTTGCTTTCCCAAAATGAAATTTCTGTGCTGCTAAATGTCCAACTTTAATAATAATAATCATCATCATCTTCAAACAGGACTCGGGGCGGCTTACAGAGAGTAAAACACCGCGCAAAGACACAGAGATAAAATGTGATACATTAATGATAATATCAAAAACCTAATAGAAAATAAAAACACAATACAAAAACCAAAGCAAAAATAAAAAACATAATACATAACAGCAATATCAAAAACCTAATAGATTGACATAATAATAGCACAATAGAAAATAACACAAATTAAATATTTTGCTGGATTTAAACATGTTTTCTACCAGAGGCAAAACCAGTTCAAGCCAGTTGGCATTGGTGCAGCTATAAACTATCACAGTAGAACTGTAAATCAACCATTTTCGAATGCTTGCTTTGAAAAGGAGGAACGACTATTCTTCCTTAATATTTTCTGAAGAATGCTTGCATATGAACCTATGTATTGATTCAGACTGTTGATCCTTCTGGGAGTTATCATGGCGTAGTAGTGTGAGTTCTGTCTGTGGAGACCAAAATTCAAATTCCCACTCAGCCGTGGAAATCTACCGGGTAATGATTTGAAGGCATACAACAAAAAATAGTCATTCTGTTCAGAGGTCCACATGCAGTCCTCCTCAAGATGACTTTCACAGAGCCCCTCAATGGCTCCCAATTCCGAAAGGCTCTAAAGCAGTGCTTCTTAACCTGTGGGTCCCCAGATGTTTTTGCCTTCAACTCCCAGAAATCCTAACATCTGGTGAACTAGCTGGGATTTCTGGGAATTGTGGGCCAAAACACCTGGGGACCCACAGGTTGAGAACCACTACTGTAAAGGGTGGGTGATCTGTCTCTGTTTTTTGGGGAAAACACGGGAATTGAAATATTTTCCTTTCTCTATCTTTAGATAGCAGTGCTGCTAATTGCATCATTTTGCTTCATTTGGGGTTGCAAATATGTTTTCTCAAAACATTCATTTCCCAGGCTCCTGTGTTGCAGTTTCCATGCAGTATGCTTGGATGCTCTGGTCACCAAAGAGAGAGCACTGTAGTTATGTTTACATCTCTGAAACCTGGCCTATCCTCCTTCCCTTCCTTTTCTCTTAGGCAGCTTCACTTGAACCAGCTGATCCGGACAAGTGGGGTTGTGACAAGCTGCACTGGAGTCCTCCCCCAACTCAGCATGGTCAAATACAATTGTACCAAGTGTAGCTTCATCCTGGGGCCTTTCTCACAGTCCCAAAACCAGGAGGTAAAACCAGGCTCCTGTCCTGAGTGTCAATCTGCAGGCCCTTTTGAAATCAACATGGAGGAGGTAAGCTGACCCTAAATGAATTAGATTGTACTGCATTTTTCAATTGAGGATTTATTTATTTTATTTATTTATTTACAGTTCTTATATTCCGCCCTTCTCACCCCGCAGGGGACTCAGGGCGGATTACAGTAAACACATATATGGCAAACATTCAATGCCAGTTTGACAAACAACATTTAACAGACAAAGGCTATTTAACTTTTTTTCTGGGCGCCGGGGGAGCTGCTGCTTTTCATCGTCCATCAACGACACCTATGAAGTTCTTCCGCATTCCACATTCCCCGGTGTCTTCTTTCTTTATGGCCTCATAAATTAGTTAAATTTTCCATGGACTTGTAGCATATATCTGGATATCTTGTGAGCTGGTGTTCTTTCCATTTAAAGTAAAGGGATGTTTTTGACCCTTATGATGTTGTTAGTGTTTTGGGAATGCAGTTGTTTGCTGGGCATGGACATTTCATAGTGAATTGGTTTCTGGCCAATGGTATGTTTCCTAAACTCCACTATTCTTGTCAGTTTGCAACTATATACTATTCTGACAGATCATCACATGAGTGCAAGTCATAAGATGCTATTTCTCGTAATTGGACATTTGACTGGCAGTATTGAAGTGCAAGATGGAAAACCTTAGTATTATTTGTTTCCCTTAAAAGCAGGCATAGGAAATGTTTAGTCTTCCTGATGATGGTGGATTTTAACCCAAACATCAGTCTTAGCCAGTAGTGAATAACAATGCAAATTATGTTTCAGTGATATCTGGGGGTGGTTACAAGTTACCTGCCCCTGTAACACAAAAGTGAGCTGTTCATCAAGCCAAAGTTTCCCAAATATTTTTCAATCATGGAACCTTCAGAAGACATTTATTTTTCTTGGAACTCTTGTCTTTATCCCTGGTTTATTTATTTATCTTCTTTATACCCCACCTTTCTTTATCCCGAAGGGGACTCAAGGGGCTTACATATAGGAAATTACTCAATGCCTTAAAACACATACAGTTCCAGTAACATTAAAATAAAATTAAAATCAATACATATTAAGCATTAAAAACATTTAAAAACATTACATTCAATATAAAATCAATTAAAAATTATTTGTTTAATCAAAATATATATTCTGGATTATTTTACCCTGATTGAAATACATTTCCCAATTTCCTATAAAAAAAACCTAGCTTGTAGTAATTTTTACTCTTGATATTTTATGAATAATATCCAAATATCTCAAATGCCTTACACCTCAAAAACTGTACAAGAAATAATATATTTTTAAAAAATAATGTGGACTCAGTGTGAAAAATTGACTACATATGAATCACCCTTGGTCAGATGGCAAATAAAATGTTCAAATGTGATGCCACTACATACCTGATAGCAATATTGTAGTACAAAATACTGCAAAATAGCTAATATTGAGACAGTAAATGAAATAGTTGGCATTGTACTAATATTTGTTTGAAAATCTGTTTTGCAGAACTTTTATGATGCTTTTGTGGAACATAGTGTTCTGAGGAACACAGTTTGGGAACCGCTGCATTAGACTATTCTACAGTAGAGGAAGATATATTTTTTGTGTCAGGAGTGACTAGAGAAACTGCAACTCACAAATTGGCAAGGATGCTGCCCAGGGGATGCCCAGATGTTTGATGTTTTACCATCCTGTGGGAGACTTCTCTCGCGTCCCTGCATGGAGAGCTAGAGCTGACAGAGGGAGCTCGCCCACTCACCCCAGATTCAAACTGCCAACTTGTTGGTCAGCAATCCTGCCAACACAAGGGATTGACCTAACCCGTTGCACCACTATGGGCTTCTAGTAGAGATAGATGCCTTCTGGCAAAGCTTTCCTGCAATTAGTGGCATTTCCAATATTGTGAAATTTTGGTTTTCAAGGTCTGAGATTGCTTCTGGGTTTGTTTGTGTTGTTTTTTTTTGGGAGGGGGGGGTTGCAAAAGGGAAACAAATTACATGCAAAATTCAAGCCACTAGGTTCTGCAGGTAATTTTAAACCAGGTCCAGTAATGCATATTGTTTTCCCCACAGACGGTGTACCAGAACTACCAGCGCATCAAAATCCAGGAGAGCCCTGGGAAGGTGGCTGCTGGCCGGCTCCCTCGCTCAAAGGATGCCATTCTACTCGCCGACCTGGTTGACAGCTGCAAGCCAGGAGATGAGATTGTAAGTCCCATCTCAGAATTGGAGGTCTGGGGAGATTGTGGGGTATTCACACAATCTTAAAAATGCAGTCTGGTCACGTAGAAATGAGCAAGAAGGCATCACCTTAAAAAGAGCAGTACCAACTTGTGAAAGAAGAATATTGGCAAGGCAGCTTATTGAAATCCATAACAATGGCAATATTGTGCACATGCAGAATATGCAGAAAAATGGAAATTTTAACTTTTGTGTCTTCTTTTTTTAGCTCCTCAACCTCTCCAAAGCATCCTGGCAGTTGTCAGTAATGTATTTAGTAATGCTAACAGTAGAATGGCTTCAACTGTAGCATTTATAGGGATTTTTACCATTAGAAACTGCAGAGATTGTGTGAAGGTGTCCTACATATCACAATACATTTGTTCTTTCTGCAAGCATTACCTTTATATCATTTTTTCACAGAGTGGCAATGCTCACACCACTCTGCAAAAACTTAACTACTTTTATAAACAGTGTTGAATAGAGTTCACAGCTTTTGTTCCCTCAATGACTCGGTAATGCATATGCCACAACAATGTCGATTCAAGTAATATATGCACTTACAAGAGCTGACTGATTTATCCTCTCTGCCTCTCTGAATTGCAAAGAATGGTTCTGATAACTGAATAATATTGCCTTTTTCGTGCCTTTCAGGAGCTAACTGGAATATACCATAATAATTATGACGGTTCTTTGAACACAGCCAATGGGTTTCCAGTGTTTGCCACAGTCATCCTGGCCAATCACATTGCCAAAAAGGATAACAAGGTCGCTGTTGGGGAACTCACCGATGAAGATATGAAGGTCCTTGTAGGCTTGTCCAAGGATGAACAGATTGGAGAGAAAGTGAGTTGGGAACCAGAGATGGAAACAAGGCATGACATGCGTTGAACAGTTTGCTAGGTCGAACTTTCTGTGCGATTAGTGGTTTTGCTTCTGAAAAGGGATGATTTCTAAATCGGGAGAGGAACATGTTGTTGAACTTCCATGCTTCCAGCCCATATAGCCAGTAGTGAGGGATAATGGGAGTTGTAGTGCAACAGCTGGGGAGTTGTGTGAATCCCACTCCAAGGTAGATGAGAATGTGGGTTGTTTCAGAAAATATCCCATCACTCCCTTTCTTCTGCCAGCATTAATTCATGGCATATTTGCATTTTTTCCCTTGATACAGATAGTGTTTAAATTAGAAAGAATCTGCATAGATGTTGTCGAAGGCTTTCATAGTCAGACTCACTGGGTGGTTGTGAGTTTTCCAGGCTGTATGGCCATGTTGCAGAAGCATTCTTTCCTGATGTTTCACCCACACAACCTCTGAGAATGCCTGCCATAGATACAGGCGAAATATCAGGAGAGAATGCTTCTGGAACATGGCCATACAGCCCGGAAAACTCACAGCAACCCAATCTGTATAGAGCTAAACTATGATTCAGATAAGAATTGGTTACCAGAAAAGTGGAGTACCTCTGAGTGATGACTCCTTCACTATTATTTTAATGTGATGCCAAGCCCTTTAATTTTTCTGAGCATTTTAAATGCAATTTAATATCCTGTACATATTAGGATTAACACCCTTCATATATTCCCCATGCATAAGACTAATACACTATGTAACACAATTTTTGTTCCTGATTTATAAATGTCATTTCTTAATTGGTTCTATCATAAAAACATGGGAAAAGTTTATTAAACTGCAAAAACTTTGTTTTTGCGGAACATACTGCTGTATATTTTGTTATAGTTTTTCAGTAAGTATCTCGCTGAGTCTCAACCAATTCAACATAGTTTATGGCAGTCACAAAAATGAAGTTTCTGGAGTAAAACAACTACTTTCAAAGTAAGTATCAAACAATTAAACAGGAAATAACACTTTCAAACCAAGAACAGATATATTTTTAAATTTTGTTGCATAGTGATATTGCCCACCAGAGTTGGCATTTTGAGAGGCTTTTGAACAGCTTCCCATTGCAAAACATGGTTTGCTCTCTCATTAATGCATATACGCATATTCATTTACGTACAGGATGTTTGGTACCAAGGATAAACTTCTGAAAACCTTTTGCTTTCAGATCTTTGCCAGTATTGCTCCTTCAATCTATGGACATGAAGATATTAAGAGAGGCTTGGCATTAGCCTTGTTTGGAGGAGAACCCAAAAATCCAGGTAGGTTGCAGTGTTACATTTAGAATGGGTGGGATCAATATGAAATCCCTGTTGTGCTACAGTTGTTGTTGTTTTGAAGAAATGAAAGACCACAATCCTCATTTTTGGTACATTTCTCCAAAAACGGCACCTGCCCCTTTCAAAATATGAGTCTATTCTGAAATTTTTAGAGTTTTGTTGGAAACTTTGTATATGTAAATGAGCAAGACCCTGAAATATGATTTGGATCGGGTGATTTTCATTCATGTTTTAATGGGTTTGGCCTTAACATTTTTGTTTATTTACCGATGTATTAATATATGACATCGAATTGCTGCCTTTGTAAGGCTGACCTGAGTCCCCCTTAGGATTGAGAAGGGTGGGATATAAATGTAAATAAATAAAAATAAATAAGAAAAATCTCTATATATTTCTGTTCAGTTCTTGGTTCTACTGAACTGATTTTTAGGCTGTTGGGTGGCATGGGAATGCATCAACTTAGTATGACATTCTGCATTCACTGGTCTTCAAAAATATGGTTCCTCTGGTCAGGGGTTATTAAACTTAAGAAAATGTTAGTAAGTTCTGCTCCAAATGCTTCACTACACCAGTTAGTGCTTCATTCACTTAAATTGCTTGAAATGCCTTAGGAGGAAAGCACAAGGTCCGTGGGGACATCAACGTCTTGCTTTGTGGAGATCCTGGAACAGCCAAGTCTCAGTTCCTCAAGTACGTGGAGAAAGTATCCAGCAGAGCCATCTTCACCACTGGCCAGGGAGCTTCTGCTGTCGGTCTGACCGCCTATGTGCAAAGGCACCCGGTCAGCAAAGAATGGACCCTGGAGGCAGGTGCCCTGGTGCTGGCGGACAGGGGAGTCTGCCTGATAGATGAATTTGACAAGGTGAGCATTGTCCTGAGCACACGGCAGGGTTTGACTTAAGGACCAAAGCAGATGTTACACATCATAGCCAAAGGCTGCACAGGGCAAAGTCTATGTAACTGGCAACTGGGAAGGGGAGACGGAAGAAAAGTTGGATTTGAGGCCATCTCCTTCTGCCGCTATAGGCAAGGCTGCTGATTTGATTCTGGGACCAGGATGCAAGAGGAACTTACTTCACCCACTATGGTAGAAATGTCACAGTTTGTGGATCCAGAGGCATTTCATTGCACACTTCTTGAGCTTTCTAAGACATCCATTTTCTAAGACAGGCCTGCACAGCCTGTGGCCCTCCAGATGTTTAGGACTCCAACTCCCAGAAGCTCTGGCCAGCGGGTCCAGTGGTCAGGAATTCTGAGAACTGAAGTCCAAAACACTTGGAGGGCTGCAGGTTATGCAGCCCTGTTCTTAAGAAACACCAGTTATGGAGTGGTGGGATAAAGCTCCCCCAAACAGCCATTCACTCAAAACAGGCTAGGTGACTTCTTTGGGTGGCCATGACATCACTGGGTCACTTGCCAAAAAAAAAAAAAAAAAAAGCAAGCTAATAGTTTCCTAGCCAATGCTTGAGTCAGGAAGCTAACTTGTAAATCTTCCTCTGAGAATCTCAAAGCTTAGTCAGGCTCTTACTACGTATTGCAGTCCAGCACCTTGCACAGAGATGTTAAAGTTTGCCTTGAAATGTGTATCACATTCTCATAGATGAGCCCATCAGAGTTAAAACCTGTTGTTGATTCTTCAGATGACCGATCAGGACAGGACCAGCATCCATGAAGCCATGGAGCAGCAGAGCATCTCTATCTCAAAGGCGGGCATTGTCACATCTCTGCAAGCACGATGCACTGTTATTGCTGCAGCTAACCCCATAGGTATGGCACCGAGGGTTGTGGAAGCGAGAAGTTCCTTCAGTTTGGTAGTGACTGAAACTGCCTCACATGGATTGACACATCTTTGAAAGCAATGGAAGAAATAATCTTTATCTAAAATAAAAAAAAACTGATCTAAAATCAGTGGGTCAAAGAGTAGACTAGGGCCAGGGGAGAAAAAGGAGAGTGCTGGGTTACTTCTGCAAGGCTACTTTAAACTCTATCTCTCAATTGGTTTCTTTATTTATTCTAGGTGGGCGTTATGACCCCTCCTTGACTTTCTCAGAAAATGTTGATCTCACGGAACCCATCATATCTCGATTCGATATCCTTTGTGTGGTCAGAGACACTGTGGATCCTGTTCAGGTATTAACTTTTTTGCACTTTTACTTCTTACATGGGGAGGATACAAGGACAGACTGATGTATGGACCTACTGCCATACAATTTTAGTGTATCGAGGAGGAGGGTAGATGGGAGAGCTTGCAAGATGGGAACTGTTAAGTGTTTGTGTTATTGTATACTATGTATACGGACACTGGTGGAATAGCACAGACACTTTGAGTAAGTGTGGTTACTTAAAAGATAGACCAGCCCCTCAAACTCTTTGAATATCTTCACCCAGTGATATCTTCATCGTGTTGCTCCCTTTTGTGTTCTGTCTTATGAGTTGTCTGGTTTGGCTCATTCATAGATTTACCGTATATAGAGTATAAGCCAACCCAAATATAAGCCAAGGGACCGGTTGTTGTTTATTCATTCAGTTACTTCTGACTTTTCATGACCTCTTGGGCCAGGCCACCCCAGAGCTCCCTGTCAGCCATCACCACCCCCAGCTCCTTCAGAGTCAAGCCAGTCATTTCAAAGATGCCATCCATCTATCTTGCACTTTGTCGCCCCCTCTTCCTTTTCCTTCCATTTACCCCAACATAATTGTCTTCTCTAAGCTTTCCTGTCTCCTCATGATGTGGCCAAAGTACTTCATCTTTGCCTGTACTATCCATCCCGCCAGTGAGCAGTTGGGCTTTATTTCTTGAAGTATGGACTGGCTGGATCTTCTTGCGGTCCAAGTCACTCTCTGAATTTTCCTCCAGCACCAGAGTTCAGAAGCGTCTATCTTCCTTCACTCAGCCTTCCTAATTTTATCACAAAAACTTTGAAAACATATTGACTTGAGTATAAGCCAAGGGTGGGAAATGCAGCAGCTACTGGTAAATTTCTAAATAAAAATAGATACCAATAAAATTGCATTAATTGAGGAATCAGTAGGTTAAATGTTTTTGAATATTTATATAAAACTGTAATTTAAAATAAGAGTGTCCAACTCTGATTAAACCATTATTCTAACCTTATTCAGTGTAAATGTGCCCATATATCCATAGTTTATTTTAACTATATATTTTGGGGAAAATGCTGTGTCTATATGAATAATGAAAATTGGGAAAGACGCACCAAGAGAACAGGAGAGGAAGGCGTGAATTGCACTGAGAGAGGAGGAAAGGAAGGTGTACGCTGCACGAGAGAGGAAGCAGAGCTAGGTTACTGTGTGGAGAAGTAAGGGTCCTGGCAGGAAGACATGGGGCTGAAAGAAGCCCTTCTTTCAGCTCCAGGTCTTCCCACCAGGACCCTCACCCAAGTATAAGCTATGAGGGCTTTTTCAGCCTAAAAAGGGGGCTGAAAAATTAGGCTTATACTCGACTATACACAGTATCTCTTGACATTCATTCCTAGCAAATGTAATGGCTTGAGTATGTGTTCCCTAATCCAACACCTTGTTTCAGGATGAGATGCTGGCTCGGTTTGTGGTCGGCAGCCACATCAAGCATCACCCCAACAACAAAGACCTTGTGAATGGGGATTCCCAAGAGATTGTCCTCCCAAATACCTATGGCGTAGAACCCATCCCCCAGGAGATCCTGAAAAAGTACATTATCTATGCAAAGGAAAAAGTCCACCCAAAACTCAACCAGATGGATCAGGACAAAGTGGCCAGGATGTACAGTGAACTGAGGAAAGAATCCATGGTAAGAATTCAACAGAATAAAGGAAGACATCTACATGTAGGAAATTGTGTTGCTAGAAAATGAGAGGAACTGAATATTAAGACTATATGTGTTCCAGGCACTGAACCGCTGCCTCTGAGGCCCCTTCTACAGCTTTATATAAAATCCAGATTATCTGCTTTGAGCTGGATTATATGGTAGTATAAACTCATATAGTCCAGTTCAAAGCAGATAAAGTGAATTATCTGATTTGATAATCTGGATTAGGTGGCAGTGTAGAAGAGGCCTGATAGTGAACCAGGGGGATAATTAGTTCTTCGGTTTGGAGCACATGTGCATGTCCGTGTGCCTTTAAGTCACCTTTAGTATTATGCTGGTCCTATAAATGTAATAAAGTTTTCTTTGGTAAGGAGGTACTAATGAAGTCATGGGTTCTTAAGCCTTTCCACTCGTGACCCCTTTGGGCCCGAGAAATGTTTATGTATATAGGTATAAAATAGCTATAAAAACTAAATATTTACTGATCTGCAAAACAAGCTGATTTTCCTTTTTATGAAACATCTCCTGCAGAGTCCACTGTAAACTAAATACTGCACAACAGATTTGTATCGATGTCTGAAACAGTCACTTGGTGATATTCAGAAAAGCTTTACTGTTGCCAATTTTTGGGACCCCCACATTCAACTAAGGGTATGCCATGTGAGGTTGAAGCCCATAGTTTAAGGAGCAGCGATTTAAGTAAACTGATAGTAGAGTGTTGCTTGTCTTCAGTTTGCCAGCAGATGGCATAGTATCCCTTCATTGATCCATTTGGAATAGAGCTGCTTTATTATTAGCTTCCTGCGGCTTTGGTTTCACTGGGTTTTTACATTCACAGAATTGAAAAGTGCCTTAAAGTAGAAGGTGAGCAGAGAGTAAAGCACTTGGGAGTTGGGCAACTCCTTTCCTCTTTCCACAGGCAACTGGAAGCATCCCCATCACAGTGCGGCACATTGAGTCCATGATCCGAATGGCGGAGGCACATGCGCGCATGCACCTGCGGGATTATGTGGTGGAAGACGATGTCAACATGGCCATCAGGGTTATGCTTGAGAGTTTCATTGACACGCAGAAGTTTAGTGTCATGAGAAGCATGAGGAAGGTGTGTGGAATGCAATTGTTTGGGCTGGGTAGATTGGGGTGTTTTTTATTAAAGGCTGTATTGGGGATAAGTGATGCCGACCAACAGAATTTTAACACTCATTGTTCTCAGTTTGGTCCAAAACTAGGCGCCACCAAAGTGGAATTCGGGAGCCACATGTGGAATATACTTTTTCCCATTCCTAATTTAAAGAGTATCATAACATTGCTTGCCATTTTTTCCCTACAGGCACACTTTTGAACTGTTAGTGGAGTGTAGACTCTTTCCCTCTTTCAACTTTTTCTTTTTCTCCTTTGCAGACTTTTGCCCGATACCTCGCCTTCAGGCGAGATAACAATGAACTCTTGCTGTTCATTTTGAAGCAGCTGGTATCGGAACAAGTGATGTATCAGAGGAATCGTTACGGGGCTCAGCAGGATTCCATTGAAGTGCCAGAGAAAGACTTGGCTGATAAGGTAATAGGGAACTTCTACCCCATCCTTCCTTCAATACATTGTGTTGGGAACCTGCATCTAGCTCTTCTAAATCTCTCTACGTTCCTTCTTCTGAGCTTTGACAAAGGGCCTGGGAGTGAAAGCTGACAACTAGCAAAGAAAAGCACAAAATGCTAGAATGTTAAAGTTGGTGTCCGTTTTCACCTCTGCAGAAAAGTTGCACAAAGCCTCATGAAGAGAAGATGAGCCAAGGGTGCCTAGAAAGCTTACTGTAAAGCTAGCTAGAAAAGATTGCATTAGTTGTGACTACATTGCATCCATATGCTTAAATGTTTATGCCCACAGAATTTGGCATGTACTCATCTCCAGGAGAATTATTAGGGTGGGAAAAGCGCTGTTTTCCAGAGGTTCTTGGACTGCAATTCCCATAGTTATAGCCAGTGGTGAGAGATGCTAAGAGCTGCATTTTGCCCATGGCTGACCCAAGATATTCAACCATAGTCCTCTGGAGAGCGCGTTCACCTCAGTCATTGGCTGGATATTTTTGCACTGAATCTATGCCTATCATTTTTAACATGAAATGAAAATGTTGTGGGTTGTGGTCAAGGAGAAAATTCAAAAATTACATATCAGCTATGAGAGCCAGTGTAGCATTGCCATTTGAGTAATGAACTACAACTATGAAAACCAGGGTTTGGGCATGGAAACTTACTGGTTGATTTTGGGCGAGTCACACTCTCTCAGCTTCAGAGGAAGGCAAAGGCAATCCTTCTCTGAACAAATCTTGGAAACCATAGCAACAACAATGAGAGGAGAATTGTTTATAGAAGTGTGACTGGACATAAAAATTGGACAGACTCCATTTGGTTCAGAAAGATGAAAGGCATAGAATCATAGAGTTGGAAGAGACCTCATGGGCTATCCAGTCGAAACCCCTGCCAAGAAGCAGGAAAATTGCATTCAAATCAGCCCTGACAGATGACCATTCAGCCTCTGTTTAAAAGCCTCCAAAGAAGGAGCCTCCACCACACTCCACTGCTGAACAGCTCTCACAGCATGGGATGAGAGAAGTAGTCTGATATGCAAAGCATTCCTGATAGATGATGATGGTGATGATTATGATAAGAATAATAATAAACTTTATTTATATTCTGCCCTATCTCCCCTGGGGGATTCAGGGCTGATTCCAACATACACAAAAGCAAACATCCAATGCCTCAATAACAGTAAATACAAATATAAAAATCCAAGAGAACCCCCACATAAAGAGCAACTTAGATAGCCATCTAGTCTCTGTTTATAGACCTCCAAAGAAGGAGATCCCAACATTTTCCAAGGCAGCATCTTTCACTTTTGAACAGCTCTTGCCATCAGGAAATTATTCCTTATATATTTGCATATTGTCATGATGACAAGTAGCCATGTCTGCAAGATCAGGCAGATATTGGACACATAAAATAAGATCCTGTATTCATGATAGGTATGTTCCTGCCTGGACCACTGTAAATTGAAATGATGGATATGATGGAGCACCATTAAATTACCTGATGTCTAGTCCCAACATACCATAGAGTTGTATTGGAGGACCAAGAGATTCTTGGTGGTGTCTTCACTAAAAATTAACTAGGGCCTCCAACACAACTCTTATGTAAACTTTCAGTGGAGTCATATCATAAATTTGCCTAGAACAGGCATGGGCAAACTTTGGCCCTCTGGGTGTTTTGGACTTCAACTCCCACAATTCCTAGCAGCCTGTTAAGTTGAAGTCCAAAACACCTGGAGAGTCGGAGTTCACCCAGGCCTGGCCTAGAAGAACTAAAACATTTGTAGAGACCATTTTTTCTTAGGCATGGGCAAGTAAAACCTCAGATGTGGGTTCCACAGTTACATAGACCTTAGTGTGTGCTTGTCTCGTAACTTCTCTACATTAACTCTTGCAGAATTGCCTTGTCTTTTTCGGACTTGAATAATGTGCTGATAATGATGTCTCTCTCTACGATACTCGTTTATTTTGTTCTAAATGAGTAGGCGTTCAGGCTGTGGAGCCTCGCAATTGTGTCTGTGTCTGACAGGCGGTCTCCCCTTTTCTCCATCTCTCTACCCAGGCTCGCCAGATCAACATCCACAACCTTTCTGCCTTCTACGACAGCGAATTGTTCAAGATGAACAGATTCAGCCGTGATGTGAAGCGGAAACTGATTGTGCAGGCATTCTGAGAGCAATGAATTCCTAAGTGACTGCAGAGGAAAAGAATTAGGGGCTTTGCTTTATCTTGCCATGCAGCAACACACAAACAATTTTCTTTTCCTCCAGGTATCACAGGAAGAGATCTGGAAGCTCTCCTGAAGGACTTCTGAATAGAACAGAATAGGGCCGAGGAGTTAACATCCCCAACTCCCAAAACTCCTCTATGTGTTTAATTGTAGTTGAGCTTGTTGAATGGAAATTCACAAAGAGGTGGTTTCCTGCTGGCCCAGTCTTAAAATCTGACTTGGGGGGGGGGGGGGGTAGAGCAATCAGAGCAAGGAAATCTGTTCCAAGAATTGTTCAATGGAACCATTAAATTGTCTGGAAATTGTGCCCTTTTTTTACTGGGCATCACCAGGGGTCATTTGAATACATGAGGAAGAAGTACGTTTGAGTTGAACTTCCTTTGTCTCTTTTACTTCCATGCATTTTTCCCTGTGAGGGAAATATCTTCGGTGTCTCTAGATATGAACTTAACATACAGATCACCCACAGGGAAATGGGACGTGGAGTCAGAAACAATTTTCACGCTTGTGTTAAAAGCAGCTGAAGCTTCTCGTAAGTCATTTCACAGGTTCATATGCCACAATGCAGTTTGTATGCTTGCCTATGGAAAACTGAAATGGTCCCTTTAGGGGCCTTCTTCCTTCCCTTCACCACAATATGTATCATACTAAAAAAATTCCGAACACACAGGCTGTTACGTGTCTGCCCAGGAGGATGTAGATTTGGAGAAGTTTTAATATGGAAGAAATAAAGGTTGAGGAACAGCTTTTTGCAACGATAGCAAAAATGTATTGGTTCTACTTTTTTTAACAGAGTATTGATGTCTAAATCTGGCTCCGTAGCAGATTTGCAGGCTTTTCCCTATTTGTAAGGGTGGTGGGTATTCAACCATGGGTCGATGACTGTCTCCACAAGCTTCCTGGTGAATTACTCATCTCTTCATTTACTGTATTTCCTCCATTCCTCTACATGAAGTCTGTGAGAAATGCACATATGGGTTATCTTCTGCGCATGCACAGCCATTTGGAACTTTCTAGAGTTTTTGAAATGGAAATAAGGGGGGGGAGGGTTCTGTTGATGGTACTGAATTTAATGTTGATGATGTCTTGGAATCAAAGAAATTCAGTGCTGCTTCTGTAACTTTTACAAGATTCAATTAGCGATGACAGAACAAAACGTAGTTACATTGCCTCCTTCTGAACCATCAGGTGTTAACAGCCGGATGGGGCTCTCGGCATATATCCTTCCACTTCCTAACCAAATGTGAGCTTTTCATCCTCTGTCCAACTACTAGGACCATGAAATGTGGACTTTCAACCCTTTATCTTTTGGGAAAGCATCCATAACCTTTGGAGAAAACCAGAATCTCTAAGCCTTTTGGAACAGATGATCTCAGGAGAATAATTGACATCCATACCTTTGGAATACTCATAACCTTTTAGTGATGTATGCTCTTCCTGAGAAGAGCTAAAAACTAGTTTGAGTTAATCTCTTCTTTACTGGTAAATATCCACTAGCATTCATTCAAGGCAAATTACATTTCTCAGTTGTTAGACTGATATACCTAGTTTATCTCTTTGAACTGTGAGGAACAAAACTATACCAATGCACAAAATAAATAGCAGATCTTCAGAAGTGTTATCAAAGTTGCCCAAAAACGTCTACTTTCCCATAGTAAGTATGTGTGTGTATGTATGTATATATATATATTAAATCTCTCAAGAGACAAAAATAGCCTTTGTTAAAAGCAACATAGTTGATTTAATTAAAAACTTCATGTATTCAGCATACAAGTACATTGCTTATTAGTTGAAAGTTCGAACAGTTTTATCTAAGGCATTCTGTTTTAGCCTCTTCTATGTTGCATACAGACAGAACTCTCTTCAGTCTAATACATTATTAAACACTGACACAACTTCTGATGCAAACTGAACACAACAGTCTAATGCAGTGGTTCTCAACCTGTCCCCAGGTGTTTTGGCCCACAACTCCCAGCTAGTTTACCAGCTGTTAGGATTTTTGGGAGTTGAATGCCAAAACATCTGGGGACCCATAGGTTGAGAACCACTGGTCTAATGAATATTGACTTCTAAGGTGGGGTCTCAGTCTGAATAGTGCCAGATCAGGTCACAATCCCAAGTATTCTGGAAGAATATTGGGAGTGAGATATAAGCAGTTCTCCAAGGCCTGCTTTGTACACGATTAAGCCTCATGCATTCTGAGTCTTTCAACCCAAGAGAGGACTAGCAATCTAAATTGAAGACTATGGAGCATTTGTCTCTTGTTCTGTCAATAAAGATAACAACTGGAAATTAGACTCCAGTGTTCACAGCTGTGCTGTTAGCTTTTCCATCTTCTGTTCTGACTTATTTGTCTCTTCTCTCGCTCTGGCCAGTCTCATCTGTCAGCTAGAGCCACTGGAGGTTTTTTTAAGGAATGATAATTTTGTGTAAAATAACTAAATTGAGTTCTGGAAACAAAAAAAATATTAGGTGAAAGATAGTCTTAAAGGCCATCTTTTATAAACCCACATGTCTTTTACATTTGATTTAGACTGGTAGATATTGGCATTCTAGTGAACAAAATAGATTTGAAATGTTAGGCCAGCTTACATGCCCCAACAAAAGATCCTCCAGGCAGCAATCAGTCAGGATTTGAAGCTGCAAAGCCATTAAATGCTAATATATTTATTTATTGTGTCAGAAGCGAAGTGTGGGTACAGTTGTAATTAATTTAAAACACAAAGTTTTTAAAAATGGCATTATACTAAATGTCCTTTGACCGGTAGCTGGCCACTTGGAGTGCCTCTGGTGTTGCTATAAGAAGGTGGTCTCTTCACCACACTCGCATGTCATGGACACCACTTTGTGGCCCCATTTCTTCAGGTTGGCTCTGGATCTCGTGGTGCTAGAGCACAGTCTGTTCAGTACTTTCCAAGTCACCCGGTCTTCTGTGTGCCCAGGAGGGAATCTCTCATTCGGTATCAGCCATGGATTGAGGTTCCAGATTTTGGTCTGCCATTTTTGGACTCTTGCTTGCTGAGGTGTTCCTGTGAGTATCTCTGTAGTTCTATTTCTAGATTTAAGGGTTGGCGTGCTGGCTAATATCCAAATGGGATGGGCTGGGGATGTCACTCCCTTGGTCCTTTCATTGTTGGCTGCTACTTCCTGGCGGATATCAGGTGGTGCAATACTGGCTAATTTCTCCAGTGGTGTGGGGCATAGACATCCTGTGATAATGCAGCATGTCTCATTAAGAGCCATATCCACTGTTTTAACGGTGAGATGTGTTCCACACTGGGCATGCGTATTCAGCAGCCGAGTAGCAAAGTGCAAGGGCAGATGCCTTCACTGTGTCTGGTTGTGATCCCCAGGTTGTACCAGTCAACTTTCATGTGATATTATTTCTAACACTTTTTGCTTGATAGTCAAGCAGTGCTTTTTGTAAGTCAGAGTCCGGTCCAGGGTAACTCCCAAGTATTTGGGTGTGCTGCAGTGTTCCAGTGGGATTCCTTCTCGGGTAATCCTCAGAGTTCAAGATGCTTGTCTGTTCTTAAGGTAAAAAGCACACAATTGTGTTTTAGATGGATTAGGAATCATCTGGTTTTTCCTGTAATAGACAGTAAGAGCACCTAAAGCTTTGGAGAGCTTCTGTTCAACTATTTCAAAGCTCCCTGCTTTGGCAGTGATGCCATGACAGCCAGCATAGATGAAATTCTCTATCCCTTCTGGCAGTGGCTGATCATTTGTGTAAATGTTAAACATTGCTGGAGCAAGCACGCTCCCCTGAGACAGTCCAGATTTTGGCCTGCCAAAATGGATTTTTTCCCATGCTAATCAAGGTGACCGATTGCAACGTTCATACTTGCTTCACTCAAACAAGAGTTCTTTCTCCCACCCTGGACATTCCACAGATATATAAACCTTTTTTGTATGGTCCCGCTACCAGGCCTGTAGGTTCTAATCTTTCTTTCCTCTACATGACTTATCACCCTTCTGGTTCTGATTCCATTTAATGTTATTGTTATTTTTATGCCTTCAGCTTTCCAGAGTGTTTGAGATTGCAAGTTGCTTTGTATACAATAAAATATTAAATGGCACAATGTCTGCTCCTCTGCACTGCAGCAAGCAAATGCTTTCTCTCAAAAGGCTGAAAGTATAGCTTTGGATAGTTAGTGATCACATCTGCATTAAAATAGGCCCTTGGCTTCAATGATGCTGAATAGAAATGACAGGAGCTTTTTGGTTTGTGTTTGCGAGAAGAGCTGAGTACTCCCGCCTCCTCCTGGCCAATTTCCAGCTTGCTTACATGATACAAGTATGCAGTCAGCCCTCTGCACCCCCAAATTCTGCATCCACAGATTAAGAAATATCAATCAATCCGTAAACCCAATCATGATTTTGTCATTTTATTGTAGGAAGTGGATTGAAAAAAATCAATCAATCAATTGCCATTTTATATAAGAGATGCCATTTTATTATGACCATATAGAACTTGAGCATCCATAGATGTTAGTATCCACAGGGGTTCTGGAACCAAACCGCAGCAGATGTCAGCAGCTGTAATTCAGTTCTGGTGTGCAGATCCAGAACCCTTGGTCTGGTATCTGGCCTAGCATTAAAAGTCAAGTCAGGGAGCTCAAGAAGGTGATACCTACACAATTTTGTACCACAAAATTCCAGTTTAATATCAGTTTGTGTCTCCAAACTGCTTGTCTATTCCTGATGGAAAGCACATGGTATCTAAGAACCAAAACCAAGCAGTTCTTCTAAGCTAGCAAGAACAAGCTTTGCCTGATTTTCTCAGATTACCTTGGGCTGAAAATGTGCATTTTCTTAGCCTGGGCAGGAAGTTAAATATGTCTGTTTGCAGTAGAATGGAATTACACTAGAAAAGATCCCTCCAAATAAAATAAAAGCAATTTGTTACAATTTTAATATCTCGGTTTACCTTCTATTTCCCCATCTGTCTATATTCCCCTTCTCCCCTCATCCCCTGCCTGAATCTCAGCTAGTTGTTTTTTTTTTTTCCTTCTAGGTCTTGATCTCTATGTAACTTCATATATTGCAGGCTCTTGGTATCTGCTGAGGTTTGGTGCCAGTAACCCAAAATCTGTGGATGTTCACATCCAGTTATATACAGCAGAGTAGTAAAATAGTAACTCTTATATAAAATGGCAAAATCTAGCTTTACTCCGGAGGGGGGTGGGCTGGGGCAGAAAATCCAAATATTTCAAAGCCATGTCTGGTTAAATTTATGGGTGGAGAACCTGTAAATAAAAAGGGCTGACTGTATGCATTCCATGGTTCTACATAGTAAAATAGGTAATCTTCTAGAGCACCTTTTTTGAGACTTTGGGTCAGGAGCTGGTTGTGTCCCAAACTCAGCTAATGTCCAAGTAAATGTCAATTCTACAGGCTCTTGATACAGTCCTCTTTGACTTTGTTCACTTTTCCTCTATGCATAAGCTTTAGCACAGCAAGTTAACTGTCAGCTGCAGAAAATCTTGCCAATCGAAAGGTTGACAGTTCAAGCCCAGGTCAGGGTGAGCTCCCGGCCATCAGCTCAGCTTCTGCGCACCTAGCAGATCGAAAACAGCAATGTGAGTAGATAAACAGGCACCGCTTTAAGCGGGGAGGTAACAAAAGGCACCCATAAGGATATGCTGACCAGGAGGTCATTTACGGACAACAAAAAGCTCCTCAGCAGAGCAGGGAAGATGGAGCTTGGCAGGAGTTGAGCGCAGCCTTCAGATGCTGGAGACTGAAAAATATGGGAAAAGCCTAT